ACTGACTGCCGCTCATTACGAAGAGAAGTGATTAGATTAAGAAAAGCCAAGTGGCATGTTTCGCAGGATCGTTCAGGTAAAAACCCATGCTGACTAGAGCTCAGAAGCCGATTAGCTAGACAGAAGTCAAGAATTTCATTGAAAATAATCTTTTCAAGAAGTTTTGCTAGAGACGGCGTTTTGTGCACGCCCCGATAGTTATTAACATCGGACCGAGATCCTGACTTGAAAACGGGAATGATAATTGACGTTTTCCATGTTTCAAGAAAGAATCCTTTTGAAACGGTGGCGATTTGGAAAAATTCATCGCACCTAAGGGCACAATCCAAGCAGCGCACGATACGGAAAGTTTGTATCATGTCTCCGCGCAACTGCCTATAACTCAGAGGATAGAGATTAAGGTTAGTTAAGCGGATCTCGTATGGCAGTGCACTTTGACCTCTTACTAATTTTGTGGCTCGCCTCTGCACCCTTTCGAGCAGATCGTAGTCCTGGTGCGTCCACGGTCTCCAGGCCTGAATTGCATATTCGAGATGGGGCCTTATAAACGTGCCGAAGACTTTGGTGAAGCAGTCTTCATCGAAAACTACGAATGCCCGCTTGATGACATATAGCATTGAGGTTGCGGCCTTGGCCGCCTTACAGCATTGTGTAGAAGGCTTTAGGCTGTCTGCAACCCAAACTCCGAGATCTTTCTGAGTTTCTGCTTCTCGGAGTGACATTCCGTTCAGATGGTATTGCCGCGTACTAGGGCTCTGATTTCCAAGGCGCAGAATGGTGCATTTGTTCAAATTGAAGGACAAGAGCCATCTGCGGGACCACTCGTCCAACCGACAAAGATTTTCTTGGAAGTTGGTCTCATCGGCAGCATTATGGATGACCTTCCAGATTTTTATGTCATCCGCAAACATGGCACAATCACAGTCCAACCCATCTACGCAATCATTGATGAACAAGAGAAAGAGAGGTGGTCCGAGCACCGAGCCTTGTGGGACCCCACTCTCTATGAATGTGCACCTTGATTGCTGTTGTTCTACGCAGACAATTTGGGAGCGGCCGACAAGGAAATTTTCGATCCATTTGAGAAGTTTGCCACCGATGCCCATAATTCTCAACTTGTGTAGGAGACGATGGTGCGGAACACTGTCAAACGCCTTCCGAAAATCAATATAGGCAACATGCACGGTGTGTTTTGCGTCCAGTGCTCGTGTCCAACTTTGCATTGTGTATAGCAAGTTCGTAACACATGATCTTCCCCTACGGAAACCATATTGTGTATTGGACAAGAGGTTGTGGGTTTCCAAGTAAGCCATCAACTCCTTTTTGATTGTTTTCTCCATCACTTTGCAGCAGATTGATGTCAGACTGACGGGTCTGTAGTTTGTCGCCAGAGCACGACTACCGCTTTTGTAAAGGGGTGTAATGTGGGCCGTCTTCCAGTCTGTGGGAAGAATTCCAGCATCAAACGATTTTTGGCACAGAAAGGATAGTGGCTTGGCCCTTCCAGTCTGTGGGAAGAATTCCAGCATCAAACGATTTTTGGCACAGAAAGGATAGTGGCTTGGCCAGCTGTTGGGCAAGCTCAAAGAGCAGCTTTGCTGGGATCTCGTCCGGACCGGGAGATTTACATTCCTTCAAGCTTTTCAGTTCTTCCAAAATCGCATCTTCTCGAAACACAATATTTTCAATAGTGGGATCTCTCATGTTCTCAGAATTAGATGGGGTAAAGTCCGCTTCTCTTGTGAAAACAGATCGGAAAAATTGAGAAAAGTGCTCAGCCTTATTTGTACTGTCCGATATCTCCAAGCCGTCATCACCCCTCATAACAGGAATGGGATTCCTGTTACGTGTGCTTTTCCGCAAATAGCTGTAGAGCAATTTCGGATTTTTAACGGCTCGGTGGAGCAAATTACTCTCAAAATCCCGTCGCCTCCTGAAAATCAGACTTTTCACCTTATTTCTTTGAATTTTTTATTCTGTAAACGCTGCATTATTGTTGTTCTCGCGAAATTTTTTCCATAACCTACCTTTCTTGTTTATCTCCCTTTTGAGTTCTCGTGTAAGCCACTGAGGGCGGTTGGATGTCCTAGGCTTTGATAAGGGACAGTGGTTCTTCATTAGATGCAGTAAATGACCCTTGAATAAATTCCAGTCCTCGTTAACGTTTCCGGAGAAGAGAACATCCCAGTCTATTTGTGATGCCTCAGCTCTCATTTGGCGAAAGTCCCCTTTCCATATATTTGGCCTCGTATTGTCTTTTGTACACGGTTAAGAATACAGCAAGTACTCGCATAAAAGCACTGCATGATCACTTCGACCGAGCGGGGGTAGGTAGTACACCTCGTCTATACTGTCAGGATCTTTGGTAAAAACGAGGTCCAGACAACTGGCCTGTTGCCCTCCTCGAGCTCTAGTTGGAAACAGGACATGTTGCGTGAGTAGAGCTTCTAGAGTTGTCTTTAGTAGATGGTAATCGAAGGTATTCATCGAGCATTTCGCATGCATATCGCTCCATTGAATGCATGGTGCATTAAAATCTCCCATGATAACAACGTCTGGTCGGCTGGCGATCTCTTTTATGCTTTTCAGTAGACAAGTATCTGGGTCGGGATCCGCCTGCGGGGGCCGGTAGATAGTAAGGACTTTGAGGGACTGAGATCCCCGTGCCTTTATAGTCAGCCAAATTGCCTCTGTGTCGTTAGAAATCTTGTCGGTCCTCTCACACACTGCCAAGTTGCTCTTGACATACATGGCAACTCCTCCACTCCGGCGGCCTCTCCTGTCTGTCCTAAACAAATGGTATCCTGTTAATGCTACCTCGCAATCGCCAACGTCCTCTGACAGCCACGTTTCTGTTATTGCTATAACATCGGGAAGAGTATCGGCTACCTGTATTCTCAGTTCGTCAAGCTTGGAAAACAGACTCTGAGCATTGGTGTAAAAGAATTTTAGTTTGCAACATTCGACAGTGCTTCGTTCGGTTTGTCTCGGGTTTGCCAATATTATGTTGCTGACGCCATCATGATGACTGGCTGGTTCCAAAACAACATCGCGTTCCTCTGTATCACTCGTCCCCTAAAAATGGCCAAGTTGCTCTCTCCCGCTGCAAGTCTCCTCTTTCACTAAGGCTTTTGATCGTGTTGACTATGCTTTTCTTCTCTTGAAACTGTCCTCTTTCGGAATAGGTGGCAAACTTTTAAATTTTATATCCTCTTACCTGGGCACTCGTACACAACGCGTTAAGATTTCCAATACTACCTCCAACCCCGCATGTGTGAGGAGTAGAGTCATTCAGGGTAGTGTACTCGGCCCGCTTTTATTTTGCCTTTTCGTTAATGATGTACCCGATTGATTTCAGAATGGTAAGCCTTTCATGTATGCCGATTATCTTAAAGTTGCATATCGATATAAGCCTGTAGATCGTGACATAGTGCTTGAGCTCCTGAATAGCGACCTACTGGCTTTCGCCCAGTGGTGCCGCACATGGCGCCTTTCTCTTTCTTGGCATAAGGGCTCAGTCATGGTAGTTGGCGACGACCGCCAACCTCAATTAAGTATTGGCGGTCACGCCATAAATGTGCCTGGGGTTATTAAGGATCTGGGCGTATCATACCCCAAGAGTCTCAATCTCTCGGAGTACTGTGCCTTGATAGTCTCCAAAGCACGCAGAACGACCGGGTTTATCCTCCGAAACCTCAAAACTAGGGACATTAGAATGCGCCTTTTCAACATGTACGTTAGGCCTGGTCTGCAATACTGTTAGTTTTTATTTAGCCTCATGCGTGGTACTAAGCGGAAGAAAATAGAATCCGTTCAACACTTTTTTACCAAGAGAGTTTTAGCCGCCGAACACCGACATTTGTCTTACCAAGAACGTTGCCGGCTTACAGGCCTTGATCCTTTATGGTTCCGTAGATTTCAAAAGGGACTATTTTTGCTATTTAGGCTCTTATATAATCACACATTTAACCCACTCACCTCTTTAAGACACCATATCCACCCACGACGTAACAGTCACCGTGAGGTCTTCTTATTTCTGCCTCTGGCACGTAATGTTAAATATCGTCGGTTCTATTCTGTAAATGCAATTGCTATTTGGAATAAACTACCAATGAGTGTGAAAACTCTGCAAAATTATCCTTTGTTTAAGAGTACTATTACTCGATTTTTGCATTCAGAAAAGCTTCCTCGAATTTTGTGTGCTGAATCCACTGATCGACTCTACCGTAGCGATCGCGTTTGTGGTCTCTGAACACAATGGCCGGTCTCACCAGGGACAGTTTCTTTGGTCAACAGCGACAGATGTTCTTCGGTGCTTCTATTTGGACTAGCCCCAACTTCATGAAAGAAAGTGGCGACTGATATCCGATACCGTGCAGCCCCTCCCATCTTGACGATCAAAAGGTTGTAGCCAGCAGTTTTTTTCTCCTGAACCCTCCTAACCATAAAAACCATCAACTATATTTTCATTCCATTCCCACAGGAGTTTTTCAGTGCTGGCCCGATTTGTGTTTAACGCTTTCCGAAAATGCCTGTAAACTGGTATTAAATAAATTATTATTATTACTAGTAGTATTATTGATCGACCATCTGACGAACCGATCCTGGTGTTGCGAAAAGTGTTCAGCTGTGCGTTACCCGCGTGGCTAATTACTCCGACTAGGCGAAGTCTCAGCACCGAGAATGGAAGAAAAATATCAATGCATTTGTTAATGGACTGGGGGCCAGTAAACCAAAATTCCAGTAGCTCCTGCCTCACGCGGTTTTCACCTCTTGCGAGAATTTCGGCCTCATCGAATTTGAATGTGTGGTCGGATATCGACGAATGAGCTGCAGCTTGAAAGCTGGCGCCATTTCTCCGTACCGCTTCAGCGTGCTCGACCATTCGTGTTTGGAGCTGTCTTCCAGTTTTCCGACATGATCGCTTCGTCCGCAACTGAACCAGATCCGATAAATGACCCCAGACGTTTCTAGCCGTGGCAGAGGGTCTTTTGGTTTCATTACCAGACGCCTGATGGTTGCCTCCGGTCTGTGTGCAACTCCAAACCCAAGTGGTGCGAGATGGCGGCCGACAGCTTTCGAAACGTTCTTGACATACGGAAGCGCTCGCCAAATTTGCTGTCCGTGCGGTTAGGCCTTTCGACCTTTTTTCGTATGCACCAGTTGACGAAGTTGCACGGGTAGCCATTGACTTTGAAGACCCGTCGGAGGTATTTTAGTTTGGCAATTTTGTCTTCCGGCTCACTGCAGTGCGTTTCGACACGCCGAAAGAGCGTCCTTACACAACTGCGTTTGTGGCTGATTAGGTGGTTACTGTTGAAGTTCAGTACTTGCATCGTATTTGTCGCTTTCCTGAACACTTTGGTCTTTAGTCCACCACAATCTTTCGGGCATACGAGGACATCCAAGAAGGCCAGCTGGTTGTTCTCTTCCTCCTCCATCGTAAATTGTGCGTCCAGGAAGACCGCATTCAGATGTCCCTTGAATGTCAGCAGTTGATCCCGGTCGACAACGACGAAGGTATCATCCACATACCGGGCCCAGAAATTCGGTCTGTGATGTTGCAAGACCAGCGATTCTAACCGTTGCAGGACGGCATCGACGATGAATCCCGAAATCGGCGAACCCACCGCTGTGCCCTTCACCTGTTCGTAGATTGTCCCGTCGAGCGTGAAGTACGTCCTGAGACAGAGCTTCAGGAGCTGAAGGACTCGGGCGTGTCCAAGACGATTCTCCGTTTTATTGTATCTTCTTTGTAGAAGCAGCTCGATTTTCTCGAACGCCAGGTCCTGGGGAATAGAAGTAAAAGGGGATGTAACATCAAAAGATACCATAACCTCATTTGGATGGAGGCTTACACCTTCGAGTTTTTCCAGGAATTGTGCTGACGAAGAGACCAAGGTGTCTGACTAAGCGGTCAGGAACATGAGACGCCGGAACAGCCACTTAGTCAGTCCGTACTTTGGAGTACCTTTGAGCGACACGATGAGTCGGAGAGGAGCGCCGTCTTTGTGCACCTTAGGGAGGCCATAGAATCGGGCCAAAGCCGTATCATGGGGTCTCGCCATGCGTCTGTCGGTCGGTGTTATTGCACCTGAATTCTCCAAAGCCAACAACGTCGCATTAATTTCGCGTGCCAGCGCCTTTACAGGGTTCATTGCACACGGAACATAGAATTGTCGGTCCTCCAGCAGACCTTTAGCTTTTTGAAGGTAGTCTGTCCTGTCCAGTACAACCGCAGAGCGCTCCTTGTCCTCTGGCACAATGACCAGGTCTGTCGGTCTTGAGTTTTCTAAGCGCATTACGTTTGACCTCGGGAAAGCACTTCCCGCGGCCTGTGGGCCATTAGGAGAGAAGACACTTGGTGTCCCTGCCAGCACATTGCCCCTTCATAGGCGGGGCTGGAAGGGGCTGGGTGGGGCCAGAGCCCCGCCTGCCAGCACATGGCTCCTTCATAGGCGGGGCTAGAGGGGGCTGGGCGGGGCCAGAGCCCCGCCTGCCAGCACATGGCTCCTTCATAGGCGGGGCTGGAGGGGGCTGGGCGGGGCCAGAGCCCCCTCTGGATTGAAGCCTTTTGAAGCGTATTTGCATCGAAAGATATGTTCCAAAAGCACCACTTATTGTACCTTCTTTGGAATTTAAAGGAGCTAATTTATCAAAATTGGCTTATAAACCATGGAGAAAGCATCCGTTTACGCCCACTGAATGTAGCTGCGGATGAGCACAATATATTGAGGTTTTAAGTCCCTCATTGCTTAAACTCTTATTTGTCCACCGGTTTACAGTCTGTGTGTGTTATTAATTCGTATATTTGACAATGGGGACGATATTTTAAAGTGGTGCCAAAAGTGGGCTGGGATGTGGCGTCCCCTGTGCATTTTTTTTCGCTGGCGGGGCTAGGCGGGGCTATCGCGTTGCATGCCCCGCCACAGCCCCCTCCACAGCCCCGCCTAGCCCCCTCATAGCCCCCTCTAGCCCCGCCATTATTGAGGGGGCCAGGCGGGGCTAGGCGGGGCTGGTGCTGGCAGGGGTAGCATGAGGTTCTTAGTCTCCTCCGTTGCCTCCATCTGACTAAGGATTGATTCCACTGCTGCAATCGTGTTAACAAGTTTGCCATCAGCCGTGTTGAATAAAGCTTCGTGCCGTAAAACCTGCACCTGATTCTTCGTCAGCTCCTTTGACAACAGGTTGTGCACCTGTTTGTCGTTTCTGGGCGACGTTGGATTGCGCACCGACTGACATTCATTTGGCGGTTATGAACGGTTAAACAATTCCCCTGCCTCTGAAGGATGTCTACTTTTCCATCTCCACGGTTTTTATTCTGGCCTGGATGGTGCAAAAACATTTTCGTGTTGACCTGGGAAAAGCCGTCTACCGAATCTCCGTTGTTCCGGAAAGCACTCCAAAATCGGTGTTGACGACTCCATGTGGTCTTTTCGAGGTCGTCAGGTCGCCTTTTTGACTCCGTAACTCAGCCCAACCTTTCCAAGGTTTCATTAACGAAGTCCTCCGCTATTTACCTTTCATTTTTGCTCATGTCGATGATCTTTATTCGTAAGTTCCAGTAAAACATTAACACACACAACACCTACGTCTCCTTTTTGGGCAAGTGAGTCGATCCGACGTTTTCATCGACGCCTCCAAGAGCATTTTTGACGAACACTTGCTTTCGTTCCTAGAATACCGCGTAGATACTTTTACCGCTCGCTAATCATTTTTTAACGGACCATAAGTTCAGAAACTATGAATTGCATTCTGTACAGATTCTGTCTACCTCGTCTAAAATTCGTATGTAAATCTATTTCTACCTGCCTTGATGGGACCCCGACGCGTCTTTAATAAAAAATTATTATTATTACAGGAGGCGTTAGTGTTGAACACTACCAAGGGCCTTCCAGCAATCAATGTAGGCGGCTTGCACGGTGTGTTTTTCATCGAAGACTCCTGTCCAGCTTAGTATCGTATAAAGCAAATTTGTTACACACTATCTCCCCTCACAAAGGCCGTATTGCTGAGTAAACAAGAAATTGTGGGTTTCCAACTCATTCATCAAATTGTGGTCTCCTCCATTACTTTGCAGTGGACTGATGTCGGGATGACGGGTCTGTTTTTAGTTGCAAGTGCTCCACTATCACTTGTACGAATCGGTATAATATGCACTATTTTCCTATTCATGGGGAGGGTTCCAGTATCGACCGATTTCTAGTACATGACGGATAATGGCTCAGCCAGTTCTCGAGCAAGTTCAATGAGCAGCTTTGCTACAATCTCGTCCGGAGCAATGGATTTGTATTCTTCCAAAGTGTTTAGTACTTCGAAAGTCGCATCCTCTCAACACACAGTATTTTCAATAATTGTCGCTCCATGCTCTCTTGTCTTGGTAGAACGAAATCCGCTCCTCTTGTAATAACAGGCTGGAAAAGCTGTGAACAATGCTCAGCTTCGCATGTGCGGCTAGGTACCTCGAGACCTTCATTAGCCCTCATTACAGTGATCGGGTTTCTGTTACTTGTGTCCTTCTGAAAATATCTGCAGAGGAATCAAAATTCTAACGGTTCAACAGAAAGAAATATATTTGAAATCTCATCATCTTTTGAAAAGTACGCCTCAAGCCTTGTTTTTTTAAATTTTGTATTCTTTCTTTGCTTCCGCAAAACGTCTTTCACAGTCAGAATGGTATTACCGACAAAGACAAGGGAGACTGGAATGGCCAT